TATATGGTGGTCCAACAATAAGAGATGGTGTGGAAGGTCTTAAACCCGAAAAAGAAAAACATGGTCTTTTCATTTCAATTGAGCCAATAACTGGCATTCCCTTACAGGCCTTGATTCGACTTCAACTAAATATTCACATCCGGGAGATTCCAGGAATTTCTGGGACAACTGGAATCCAAGAAGCATATGTTCCAATTCTGTATTTCAGTAATGAAGTTACAGTTGATAAAGCCATAGCTCAAATGTTGCACCAGGATATGTTTTTGCCTCTGAAAGTTTGCCATTATGCCAAAGTTTGCCTGTTCTGCTTTGGTGGTATTTTGATATTAGTTGCCATGATTTTTGGGTTGCTTCTTTATCAAAAGAATTCCAAGAAAAAAAACCTGAGTGATGCTGGTAGTATTCAGTCAGGGAGAGTACCCCTTGTCATGTGATATGGCCATTGTATTGTGTTTACATTTAAGTCATGTGCAATGAATATTGATTTAACCAACAATTGGTATAAAAATTTGTGATAAAAAGCTATTGTTTTAAATGGAAAAAAAAGAAATTTCTGTTTTGGTAATTCTTATACATTAGTTTGACTTTTTTGACGAGGGGAGGGGGTCACATACACTCTAGTGTGGACATCTAAATAATAAATAGATCAAAGATAAAATAAATGATGAAAATTGTGAGACAATTAAAACAGCAGCCAGCGCATGTTTTAAAACTTAAAAATGTTAGCACTATGAATTGTGAACAATTGTAATATTTTCATAGATGATTACAAATTTGTTATGATTGACTTTTCAACGAAAGACTGAAAAGTTGCATGGGAATGCAAAAGATTAGTACTGGACCGCGAGCTTGCCAATCGCAGTACGCGAATGACGATACCTGACCCAAAAAATTTCTAATTATTCAACCTGACAAAGTTTTTTCAACCAGGCGTAGATACAAACGCACATAGTTGAAATGCATACCGGGATATGTGCCGTTACTCGCAAGAGAAGATTCACAGTCAATCAGAATACAGTATGTTATGGAGTTGGTGTGAGTTCAGTCATGAAATTTRAGACATTTAAAAGTCGATCGGTGATGCGCCTGTGCGGTTTCCCTCTTCATTGTTTTCTTTTGAACTTTTTCGCGGTGMCATTATGTGCACTTCAAAACAATGAAATACAACATACCTTCGGTTCTCTCACCCTTGCGCCATGTTTAAGACACATTTCGACAATCTACGTGGAAAGAAACAGGAACCCCACTTTAAAAAAATCACAAAGAGGAAGGAAATATAGAGAACAAGCAGAGGGCATCCTCTGTGTAATTAGAAAACAGAAGAAGAAATGACAACTAACTTCAGTTACACCGCTGTCCACCGCCATGTGAAGAAGAGTACTTCCATCGGAATCTGCATCATAAAGAAGAGGCTCTGTCTCTCCTAGTTGGGAATCGGCTGAAAACAAAGCAGATTCAAACATGACTGAATTGATTAATCTTGCAGTTATCTTTTTGGTAACTGCTAGGCCACTAGTTTCTACTGATTGGAAAAAAAAATTAAGCCAAAAATGTTTTGCGAACCACAGTCTATGAGTATACTCTATATGGTGTTCAAGCACCTAATGACTTGTTTTTATAAATTATCCGTTATAAAGAGTGACGTTATTTTCGCATAGAATGTTCGTCCGTAGTTTTAAAACACGCGCCCTCAGGCAATCTTGATAAAGTKTTATCAATACCACGATCCAGTTCGCTGAAACAAACATGACGTCATCAAGGGAAAGAYCAACTTTTAAGAAGTAAGAGGGCAATATATCTTACCAACTTCGAACATGTATGCAGCTGTTCTTCTGGCTCCTTTTTCAACCGAGTGGCCAAGAGGCGTCATTTGGTCCTCGTCTTTAGCTGTTATGGAAGCGTTGTGGTCGACCTGAAAGTGCGAATTACTACATTGAAACTATTGTGAAATACAGGCAAATTTGAGCAAAGCACTTCTCGAGAGCTGACACGGCCAATGTAATCATGCTTTGCAAGACGAATCAGTATCAGGAGCT